GGGCCAGCGCCGGCGGCAGGGTGGTCCCGCAGGGGCCCGGGAAGTGAAACCTGGAAGGAAGCAGCCCGGTGAAGGGGCGGGCAACGACCAGCGCACGCTGCTTTTTCCTGGCAGTGCCCGAGTGCGTTTGACACGCAGGGAGCTGGGTAGTCCTGCTTCTGAGGGAGCGGCTTTTAGGCCTTCTAGGACCTAGGGACAGGCTTCGGCCTCACGCTTGGAACAATACGGTTTTTCTTCTTCAGCGTAAGTTAATTCCACCAAGAAAGAACGATGATCTTTTCTTACTTATTAGAAGAAAATAGCATTTCTTAAGCATTGGGGAAAAAAACTAGATCATGTTTGTTAAAAATTTTCTAAGCGTCTTAGGAGTTCGATGCAAAAGACAATGGAGATGGAGGGGAGTAAAGGTTGCTAGTTTAAAACCGAACAGCTTTACCTGAATCTGTTTGTAGCAGGAGTAGCTTCCATGTTAAATTCTGCAACTGGCACTCCTCTGGCAGATACCTGAGGGGCAAACATAGCGGCAGGATACACCACGGAGGAGGTCCCGACCTGCAGGGACAGGGTGAAAAATCAGGAGTGTAGCAGGCCAGTAGTTAAACGGACAAAAACACACCAACCCACAAGGTACGGGCCCTTCTCAGAACACTGGGTCTGCAAAACCACTAAAGCATGGAAGATCCCTACAGAAATGAAACCAAATCAGTATCTGTATTTAGTGTCACTGCATATGTAGCTATTTAACATAGTGTGAGAATCAGGAGTCATTTCTCTGATGCAAACCAAAGAAGCCTGTTTGGGGATTGTAACTGTAGATGAACAGAAAAATCCCAGAAACAAAACGGCAGACTTTGCTTTCAGGAAAAAAAAACCCACAAGACGTCCCTTCTGTTACTCGAGATTGTTTTCTGAAGGGTACACAATATTATGAGCGAATGTTTTGGTCAGCTATCTGGAACCTACATGGCACGTAAGCAACCTCACAAAAAAGCAGCACATGATAACAGCTAGCTGCGTTCTTACAACATTGTAACTTTTTTTTTAAACTCAGCATCAAAATAATCCTGTTTTTTACTGTTTGAGAAATTCAGATATTAGAGGTTCAAGCATTACAGGTTTGCTAACACCTGTGTATACTAAATGCAGACTGCAGATGCCAGCTGAGCAAGATGCGCATGTGCTGAACCTGTTAACTTCTCACTAGCGTACATAAATTTTCAAACGTCGTGGTCTTTTAATGTTTTACACTTGACACTAGAGAGTCCCTCAGGGGCTTCTAAGCTCCCTCAGGGAAGTGCAGATGCATCTCCTTTACCCAGGAGGTGCAACCTCTTTAGCGTGGCTTCCCTGCCAGTTAAGAAACTATTTACCGATCATATAAAATTCTACCTGTTCCTTTGGTAACAAAAGCGTCACTCACTACTAAGCAGAGGTCGCATATCTCAAGCTCCTTCTCAACCTCTGTGAGAATGTCAGGATCCAGGGTTTCACCAAACCACACAACGTGGGGACGGAGGAGCCCATTGCAGCCGTCCTCCTCACACCTGTTTGAAAATGGCAAAGGGACGGCGTTATGCTGCTGACGTGGACGTTTCAAGCTGCAAAGCGGCAAAGCAGTTTTCATTCTCATTTGGACATGTCTTACCTGCCCTCACTCTTTCTCCCTTCTGCTTCACAGCCCTTCCCACACCCTCCTCTACCACACGCTGGACAGGCGGCAGCTGCTGCCGTGCTATGCGCGTGTTGGAAGTACGCACAGGCTGCCTGGTCACACAGAATGGGTTGCTGAACACTTGTTCAACTCGGATACTTAATCATGTCTTCCCCTTACTCGGCTCCTGAAATGCCTGAAACTTCAAACGTATTGTGTGCTACAAACCTTGGCCTCATCAACTTTTAACAAACTGGCCAACAGGTTTTTAAGGAGAAAGTGAACGGAAAGAAGCATTGCATTTAGCCCCTTTTCCTTAGGAACCCAGATGAAAAATATGGTGGCTTCTTCCATCTGCAACTAGCTAAGGCAAAGCTTCAGCCATTACAAAAAAGCACCGTGGCAGATTTAATGCCTGCAAGGGACTAGGCAGCGGCTGTACCTCAGCACAGTATTCCAGACTGACTAACAGTAGGCGGCACCTGCAAAGTAACAAAACATTTACTGTGTAGCACTTAGTTTCTTACTGCAATTCTCCTACTACTACACTTTCTACAAAACCCATGAATTTAGGCATGTTTCGGCTTCATGCTCAAGTAGATAAGCATGCATTCCCTTTAGCATCATGGTAAACTTCTAGTACACGCTCCTGTTGTCTGCTCTCCCCAGTAACATCAGGTTTAGATTTAGAGTCGGTTCTCTGGGGCAAACTCCCATGTCCTTTTCTCCTGCAGAACATTTCCACGTCCTTTCAAAACTACATGAAGAGTAGTATAAGCCTTTGAGATGCACAAAGTATGAAGAGGTAACAGCAAAAACCAAAGTGGTCCATACGTACTGAGGAAGGTCTTCAACTGCAATCGCGGCGTCTTCCGTTGCAGGATCTGGAGCCCTGAAGTTACAAAATTGAAATACATATTAAATCATAAAAAGTGCACTTCACATATTAATAAAAACTTAGTATTCTCTAGAGCATGCTCTCCAATCAAAGAATCTTTGCAACTTCAGCCAACTTCAACATCCACTACAACCCTAAAATACCACACACAGGGCAGGCAGGCATTTGTCCAGAATTATCCCAGAGCTAAGCAGCTGTAATAAGCTGGTCAAAGTCTTTCAAAGGCACAACAAATATTTATGTAGCTATCTAAAGATCTGGTGAAATGCAAAGGGAAAAAACCCTAAAAATCTACGAGCATATGCCTGTCATCATGTCCCTCCCTTATTTTTAATGGTGAAAGAAAGAGAATGGCTAGAAAAAAAGGAGACCGAAGGCTTCTTATGCAACTTTTTTAAGTTGTAGAAATCCTGGGAACTGATGCTTCCCTCCTGATTGTTTCACACATCTGTATTTTGAGACCTGCAATCATGAGAATCTTATTGATGAGTTGCAGGACAAAAGCTACGAGGGCCTCAAGAGATGCAGAAGAGGACAATCCATGTATCAAGTGATGACAGTCCATTTAAGGACTAAGCATCCAATTTAAATAAAAAACCTGGAAGGTGAAGAGGATGGGAGTTAACGCACATTCTCAGAGAGTACAATTAGTTGACGTCCAGTAAGAGAGTTTCAGACCATCTGAAATTGTTCTCATTAAAACATATATAATGCTGTGCTGCTAACTTAGAGCTTAACAGTTATTCATTCACAGACTTACAGTATCACGGGCTCTCACTGAAGCTACCAAACAGTATGCTCACGTTTCAAAACAGCTGTGTAAAATTTAAGCATTAATACTACTAAAAGGAAATGGGGCGGTTGGCTGAAACTCCTATACGCTCCCAAAATGGCTCCTTTTCTATTGAACAGCAGGCAAAGTAGAAAAGACAGAGAGTTTACAAGGCAGACGCATTACCCTTTCCCGGCCAATGCGGGGCATATTGGACTCTTGTAATTTGCAGCCACATTTCCACAGTTGGTGCATCGAGTTTTAAATAAACTACCTGAAACACACAAAGAGAAAACATCAGGGATCAAGTGACTGCTCTGAGGCACGGCTGCACAAATGAATGGCTGTGTTTATCACGGACGGCCTTTATTTGACTTTGAAGACTACACCTTGTGGGTAATTTACTACGTGAACGTAACGGGCAAGTGTTGAAACCTGGCAGCATCATGAACGAGACGCTATTTACACAGTGCATACACGCGCTTTTGTTCAGCAACCCAAGGTGTCCAGCGTCACAGTCAAGCGCAGACTGGACCCAGCAAAGACAGACGTCCAGCTGAAAGGCCGCAGAGAACAGCAACAGTCCCTCTAAGCTACGATTTGTCGCCTTGTTCTACCTCACCACATGAGTAATACACAGCCTCGTAACAGTGTTTCAGAGGAAAATCATTATTTAAAATATCACTGAGGGAGATGATTTCTGCTTATTGCTTTTCCCCTTAAATCAGAAATGTTTTCTTTAAAAAAAAAAAAAAATGCTGCTTGACACTGTTTTGTTTTACGCAAAGCTCCCCAACCCCAAGACTTTTGTAGCATAATGTGCTGTAGAGATGTGTAGAAAATATTACCAAGAGTTTAAAATTGTTTATATTTTGTAAAGAATAAGGATAATCAAAATTAAACTATACCCAAGGTTTTTACCCTTGGATCCACAACTGCAAAACCATTTGTGCAGGTTTCCTGTGTCCAGCTCACAAAGTAGCAGTGGGAAATGCCATTTAAACCTTTCGTGATACTTAAGCAGCATCACAGATGGGACTTTGTCCCGGGAGACTTTCACTCTGCGGCAGGGCCTGCAGAGTGGAGAAAGGAGGAGTGGGGGCACCTCCAAGGATGGAGAAGGGTTTCCTCGCCCTCGTTCTCTCCACACCTGTATATTTCCTCAGATCCAAAAGCCCTGCTGACCCTGCACGCTGCACCTGCGTTGTGCTCCTCTGGCACTATGCGGGAGAGAGGGCAGGAGCAAGGAATGGCCCTAATGACAGGGAAGAGAGAGGGAGTGCTGCTGGGTGCAGGAGGGAAAGCTAAGGGAGTCTCAGCCGTTTCCAGCTCCTTCTTCCTCCTGCAGCCAAGAACCGCACTGGTGGGTCTTTGGAGGACAGGACAGGACAGAGGGAAAGCGGCAGGCAGCAGCGCGGAAAGCAGCAGGGCTGGTGAGACCAGTCCTGCCAAAACGCTTTTTACTGGTGGCAATAGCGGTGTGGCACCACCACTACCACAGAGCAGAAGTCCTCAATGGATTACTTCCCCCTTTTCTAAGCAAAATCAGCCAAGTGTCACTATTCACGTGTATTCCAGTGGATGTGAGGCAAAACTGAGCAAGTGGGAAGGGAGAACCAGTTCCTGCGTACTCTCAGAATCCATTAAAAAAGAAAGATGAAAAATAAAGGGAGGCTACGAAGTACCCGAAACAACTTCCGAAAGAGAACAGGGTGACATTGTGAATAACTTTGTGCAAGTCATTACCATTTTAAAGACAAATTTCTTTTGTCCCAGTACTTATCCTGCTCTCTCTTCTCCCCTGCAAGTTTGCTGGCCTGTTGCAGACAGGTAAGCCGATTCTTACCGTGAATTTCTAAGAGGTGCTTTGTGCCTGCCTTTCGGTGTAGTTCATCGATATTCTGAGTAATGACCACAACGCTCCTTCCTTGCTTGCTCAGTCGCCTTTCACACTCTGCAATGGCGATATGCGCAGGATTTGGATGTTTGCTCAACATCACTTCCCGGCGGTAATGGTAAAATTCCCACACACGAGAAGGGTTTCGCGCAAAAGCCCCTGGCGTAGCCAACTCCTGGAAAAGATGTAATGATTCATTCTGCCGACGAAAGGGCAAGAAAATCCCCTCCTGAGCTGAAGTCTGCTAGCCTACTGCCACTTACACTGCTGCCAGCATAACACGATAATGAAAAGCAGGTTATTTATAACCAGATGCAGTTGACAACATAGTTCAATAGACTTTATGAGGATACAAGTCAAGGTATCTTATTAAACGAGGAAACAACTGATATCAATAGTGTGGTACATGGTTTTACATAGTACACTCCGACCTTATTCTGTGCTGCCCTACCAAACCACTAGATGTTCGGTACAGCACAAAGGAAGACGAGATACTTCAGTGCACAAGATTTTGAGCATTCAAAACTCTCTTTTCCACAGCGGCCATAAAACTCAGCATCGTGTGGATATATTTCCTTTGCTAGCAATTTCTTTTCTGCCTTAATTTAAGTGTAACACAAGCTGAATTACAGCTATTGTCCAAACCAAAGTATAACGTCTTGTCTTTTATGTGCCAGTAAAATCTAAGCTCTACTTCTCACGCTAACTTTCATTTTGCCTTATCTTTTTTTTTAAAATGAAGAGTAGCTCAATCTAATGCTTCACAATTCACAATTCTGCTGATATAAAAAAGCTGAATGCAAGCTTTCTGATGCAGGACCAGGTGCTAATACACACACATGCTTTATTTGCATTGATAGTCATGGAAAGAAGAAAAATACATCTTTACATTCAAACCATCTTGAAAAACTCATCTCTCTGAGCCCTTTCCAACTTCATCAAATCTTTCATGGATGCTGTCATTAAAAACCATAAAGACAGCCAACGTGATGCAGTGTTTGGGGCAGCAGTTACTGACAGTATAACGGTGACTGGAAACAGCACCACGCAGGACCAGACTCCCGAGGCACCTGTACAGCTCGCACATCCCGGTGCTCGCCGCTGCACCCCTCCACTCCCCACTGTCTGCTTCCACCTCCTCTCCCACGCCAGTGGCTCCAAACGCTGGCAAGATCACACCAGCAAGAGAGACAGAGCTTGTGGGAGAGTTAAAGACTATGAGGAACCCTGCCCCCAAACAAAAAAAAAATTCCTAAAACATTTTTAAAGAGCATTGCGAGAAACCAAGATTAAAAGAAAACAACCAGTTGGTTTCATTGATTCTGTCCTTTGTTATTCTGGTAAAAGGTTCTTAGGTGTTTAAAACAGGAAATGCCCCACGAGGTAGAAAAACAGCGAGTGTGTCAGAAGATGAGCAAACAGCTAAGCTGCAAGGCAGCAAGAAAAGAAGGACGGTAGAAAGACCCAGAGCTGTCTGCAAAAACATCATTTTTCCCAAACAACCGATAAACCGAACGACGGAAAAGAAGCTGCAGCTGCACAAAGCAGCCCCCCCAGGGCACGGGGAAGAGCTGCGGGCACGGCCCTCGGCAGAGCTCTGCCCCCACCGTACCACCCTCTGAGGCACCCAGCTGCTTCTGACTCTGCAGGCTCACCCACCTGACGGATCGAGAGGCACGGCTGCGCAGGCACGTGCCACCAGTACCTACCTGGGCTTGCCACTTTCTCCAGAAACCTCCAGCCCCTCTGAAGGTAGGAACTCCACTCTCCGCGCTAACACCGGCTCCTGTGATAATGGCTATGTGCTTCGCTTTGGCAAACACTTCTCGAAAATCAGCCATATCTACGTGCAGGGAGGAAAAATGAACAGCTGTTCAAAGACTTATACTTAAAGAGGCCATACAGACAGTGCTGGCAAACCTACACATTCAGAAATGGCTTCCACATAGACCTCCCATGACTTCAATTTCAGAACACTAATTTGTTTCTGAGTTTCTGTGTGTTGAAATTTGAAGGGCAATTCCTAGAGATCCTCAAAAATGCACGTGAGCAGGCCCAGCGTGGCAACATGTATTAAACTACGAATATACTTAACGCTTCAAAGACAGAGCCTTAAACTAAGACCCCACGCTAGATGCTACCATGGTAACAACTGCTGCCACCACCACCACCCAGGAACAGTTTGCTTCCTAATCATCAGGTAAGATCCCGAGATGAAAAAAATTTATATTTAGTTACAAAGTATCAACTTCAAAATTAAGGTAATTTGGGAAAACGCATTTCCTTCTGAGGCATCTTGCCCATTTTCTAGGTCTGCAATTGAATTTTCTGTTTTTTAATGTATATTCCCTCA